CCTAGTAAATTAGTTTGCAGTTAGGGTCAGTTGCCCCTGGTCTGCTGTGAAGGACAGTTCAGATTACCCTCCGTTCGCTTGTCTATGCCAAGATTTTCAGTTAAGATTTTCCTATTTCTTATTGATGTTTATTTGGTCTGCTATGCTTTTCACAGTTAGCTGATGATTCTGACGCACAATTTGACAAATTTTTCAATGTTTTTATCAGTTCTGCTTGTTACTGGCCATCCTGACCCCTCTTCATCAGTGATGCTTTCTCTCCCCTTAGAAAAACATTTAATCCACTTGTACACTGCCATTTTCTTCGTGGCATTATCCCCATAAACTTGGACTAACATGTTCCTGATTTCACTTCCACTCTTGCCAAATTTAACAAGAAACTTAATGTTTGCTTATTTCTCTAATTCAAGCTCCAACATACTCATGACAGTCCATAAAAATATGCAACGAACAACACTCAGCAAGATACCACCACATGTTGACATGATACAGCTGTGAGACACTGATATACCAAGGCTATGAAAACTTACTGAGTTATTTGTACAGGACTGCCAATATAAGTACACAGTGGCAAGTTCATGAACTTGTGAGACTTCATGAACTTGTGAGCTTTGAACACATGCCTTCCTGCCTGGACAGCCCAGGCTGGGGAGCTCCTGGGTGAGTTTAGGTTCTGCTTCTCCTTGAAACAGGCCTATCCCTAATCTGGAGCTCAGATCCCACTGGAGACCATTTCACACATGAGACTTTGTAAACAGGTAAAAGGGCCTGATCCTGTGCCAGTTTCCAGGGGTGAGACAGAATTTTCCCTTTTATGATAGATTGGGAGACGAAGTCAAATAGGCATATATAGGTTACTAATTTCTTGTATTATACTTTCCTATTCTGCAATAGTTAGAAAACAAGAAGAGACAGCTATCTGGTTGATGTAGGTATTCTTTATTATGTAACAGTTAGTCTGAGACAAAATACAATTCAAAACACATTATTGAGGATTCTTTTTTTTCTTTTGAGTTGGAGTCTCACTCTGTCGCCCAGACTGGAGTGCAGTGGCTGCTCCTGGCCACCGCAGCCTCGACCTGCTGGGTTCTGGTGATCCTTCCGCCTCAGCCTTCCAAGTAGCTGGAACTACAGGCATGCGCTACCACACCCAGCTGATTTTTGATTTATTGTAGAGATGAGGTCTCAGTCAAGTTGCCCAGGCGGGTCTCAAACCCGAGGGCTTAGGCAATTCACTCACCTCAGCCTCCCAAAGGCGCGGGATTACAGGCTGAGCCACCGAGCCCGGCTGAGGATTCTATATTAGTTGATTTTTAGAAATAGCACAATCCAAACCAGATTTTCCACTATATTTTCTTACATAACCTTTAAGGATTTTTCACTTCCATTATTTGGCTCTGGAAAATCTCTACAGGCAAGAACATTTGTTGCACCAGAAAACAAAATTTAAGTACAGTTGTTAGGTACAAATTCGAAGATATGCACAAACTATAATAATTACACATCAATATTTCTTTGGACATAACATTTGCATTTAAACTGTTAAATAATTAGCGTTTTAGATAAATTCAAAACATACTTCAATAATTGATTTGAATATCTCCTTTACTTTTTAATTCACTTCAGAAAAAAATTGTTTCTGATTTCTTCAGTAGCAAGAGTCATAAAAATGGTATCTCAAACCAAGATTCACTTCGTCCTCTTGAGAAATGGGTTGCAGAGATTTTTGGATTTGGTTAAAAATATAACCCTAAGGAATGTTAGGGGACAGCTGCAGAGAGAGAAGCACTGACTCTAGAGATCAGGTCTTGTGGCTCTGCTGGGGGGACACCAACAACCACTTGGGGTTCAGTTGTCTTGCTACGAGCCAGAGGAGACTCAGAGGGCCTTTAGTCAGGCCAATCTAATGAAAGTATTTCAAACACCAGTAGGGACAGAAGATCGGGGCTGAGGAGTGACAGAAGTCCTGAACGGTCTGAACCATTTCATACTTGCTCTACTTCCCACAGCTCTTTGGGAAACAGGCAAGGATTTTTCCTGGGCTGTGTTCTCCCATGAAAACACATGTGTCACCTCATTAAATGGTTCAAAAACATTTCCTATTGGTTTTATGCTACCAACAATTATAATATTTTAATGGATATGAGAAATTACGGGTTTAAAATGAAATTCTCTGTTACTGCAGATATTTTAATAAACGAGTGATCAGACTATGACACTGTCAATACCATAATTTCACAACTGCTTTTGTTCCTTCTACTCTTTCTCTTAGGCAAACTTTGGAATTTACTTTTTACTCTATCAATCATCTGCTTTGAGTATCAACTGCCCATTACTGGCTACAAACTATATGTGTGTATACGTACATGAGTTGTAACCATGAAGATGCATGTTGAACGGTGTTACAAGGAGAATGAGTCCATTCCTTCAGAGCTACCCTCTGAACAAGAGACTGTTTGTCTTTACATATACCTGCTTGTCCAGTCCCAAACCAATATTCTCTCATATAAAAATATATGACTCTTGTAGAATCCTTCATTTACATATCACTAAAAATATGTTCTTTCACTCTAACATCTTTTTACCCAGTCTTGCCAATCAATATCATAGGGCAGGGAGATAAAATCTTTTAAAAACAAGTTTCTTAGGAGAAGTTAATTTTTTAAAAAAAGTCTACTTTTAAAGCAGCAGTTAGAAACCTTGTTCTTGTAAAATGTAAATAATACTGTTATATCAAATTGTGGATTTAAATATGTTTAACAATTTCTTATCTCTAAAAAAATAAAACTGATTTCTGTTACTTAATGGCTTCTCCATTCTTCCAATTCCAAGGAATACAAAGGTCTCCATCTTGCATAACAGAGTAAAAATGTGACACGCAGAGGTGCATCCCGTGTAGATAAGGCAGTGATTGTTCTAGAAGTCTCTTACAACAATCTACCATTTGTATGCTAGAAATGCTGGGCTCCTTATATAACTTCTCCAGAGAAAACTTCTTTGTTGAAGCCTGTATCAATTCATTTTCAATAACCTTTAACCTATTACATTGAAAATAAAAGCAATATTGTCATAAGTCATAACTAAATTAAAAAAAAAAACAACACAATTTTGACTCACTGGTACCCATAAAGGCTAAATTTATGTTGGGAAGATGTGTTTGTTTAATCTTCTTAGCAGTAATGGGGTAAAAATAACTAATACAAAATTTAAAAAGATCTTACCCTACGTCGCCTAGCAGGTGTTAGTGACCCAAGAAAGTAGAAAGTTAAGAATATAAAACCCCTAGCTTTAGGACCTACCTAAGTTTAATCCTTGGGCAGCAATGACTTCTAAAGTTTCCCCAAATAAACAGTAGGAAACCAAACCAGGAGCCTGAGGAGGACAGGTTCTCTTCACTTTCACTCGCCTACCTCATTGGTCCCCTTTCTGTTCCCGTCCCTCTGCTTGAGGTTAGACGTCTCTTATCCATCAGGGGCTTCAAAGTACACAACTCCAGAGCAGAATTGAGTATCTCAAAAACTTTCTCCTAGAGGTAGCCTGCGCTTGTGGGCATGGCATTTTAGTAAGTGAATTCAATGTTCCACATCTAGAGATGTGTTCAAGAGAACTCAGGTCTTCAGTGTTGTTCTGGACCTAAACATATGTCACTTGAGAAGCCCATTTGACAAGGAGAGGAAAGCAAAAGTGCCACAATCAAGTGTCCCTGAACTGGTCTAATTTAAGTATTGCCTGGGTTAAAAATGCTCAAGTAGCCTAATCACCCTAAAACTCTGCATAAAAGAGAAAAATAGGTACCATAAAATATCCACAAGCCAGAAAAACATTTGAAAACAGAAAGGGTCATTGCAGCTAGTTATCCAGGTCTGTAATTACTGAATTCCTTTCTTTAACAATGCCCAGATCACTTTCTCAGGTACTGTTAGATGTTTCTCTAAGATTACTCCTCTACACAATTGTTGCTTAGAGATTCAAGAAAGTAATTGCAGTCAAGGCTGACAGTTCTGACAATGTTTTTGCTAGGTCTGCTTCTAATCCCTCTGGGATTAGATAGGAAGAACCCTGAAACTATCATTGAAAGCAGGGGATGACTAACTTTTCCTGTAAAGGGTTTTTTCACTTGTCACAAAAATAGATATTAACAATTTCACTTAGAAATGAAAAGCCTTGCAGTGTGACCACATTGTTGTGAGGGTTCTCAAGCACCCAATCTTTGTGCGAATCTACACAGGATTCACTCAGGTCTGTTCCTTCTAAGAGAAGCATATACAGGTATCGTCATTGAGTTTCCCTGACCCATGGGCCACAACAGCTACAATCAGGAGGAACTGCCAGTCCTTCTGCAGTGTGATTTTGGAGGAACATTATGGTCTGAGAAGGCAGCCCTTGGTGAGGCTCCCTCCAGGGCTGCCCCGCAACAGGAAAATGTGTAACAACCTTTCCTCCTTGGCTGCCTCTGCAGTCCATAACAGACTAATTTCAAAAGTATTTTTAAAAATTGTGTTTTGCCTTTCCTTATAACTTCTCTGATTTATTATGTTCATACCATGGGGGAGGGAGAGGAAGGGAGAGAGAGTGGGAGGTAGGTTAGTCAAGTACACACAGGAGCAGCATCATGAACATCATGACACAGCAATCTGCATGAGTACAGGATTGGTGAGTGTGGCTGGTGGGCAATTCTGCTCCTTTTAATGCTAAGAAGTAGGCCAGACATTTCCCAGGGGGGATGACCCTCCTTTCCCTTAATAAAAAGCATGTCTATTTTTTTCAAACACAAGGTTTAAGCACTCTGCCCTTGCCATGAGAATGAGTTCCACCAGGGATTAGTCTTGCTTGCCCAGCGTCAGCACCAGTGCCTTTCTCAGGGCTTGCTAGGCACAGAGCACTCATTAAATATTAACTTGAATGAGCAGTTGTTTCTACTATTTGCAAGTATCAAGCTACTTAACCATTCTTCTATTATTGTATTATTGTATATTTCAATTGTTTTCAACTTCTCTAAGTCATTTTAAAATCTGAAATATATGATATAGAGTTAAGGGAAATATCTGACTATTTCAATAAATATAAAGTGGGTGAGCTCATGCTGGAGAGAGCGGGTGTACGACCCAGGTGCGGGTTATTACTACCCTTCATGAGAGCATGAACTAGGTTACCACCAGCCTCTGAGGGAGTCGGGGTTCCCCAGAGAGCAAATGCTTTCTACACATCAGTCAGGCATCACTAAGAGACAGGAGTAACAAGTCACGTAGTCTTGAGATGACTGTGGGGGTTCTAGGAAAAAAAGGACCCAGGAATTTGCCTAGAATGTGCTTTTGAAAGCATTCAGCAAGCTGAAGGTCCTGCAGGTACTTGAAGGTGTGTGGGCATGGGCGGCCTCCAGCTTCTTTCCTCCTGAATGAGAGCAGCTGTGAGCTTGTATCTTTTGAGAAGTTGGTTTCTACTCAAGAACCCACTTTGTCAAGAGATATGCAGTGAAAAATATCTGGAAACCACTGTCTAAGAAACATGCTTCGGCTAAGGAAAGTAGGGAGACTTCGTCACCACCTGGTGAATGCAATGAGGGTGGCTTGCTAGGACAGGGAGGACAGACAGAATGAAGGAAAGAAGCCAGAGCAAGAGAGGAGAGGCTTCTGGGCCCAGGCCATGTTCAGCAGGAAGGTACACTGGGACCAGCAGCAAGTGTTTCCTCTGGGGATAACAGAGGGGTGAGTGCCTAAAGCCGAATTGGAAAGGGGCTAAGGGCCATGTGAGTGTTCATGGAGTCAGTCAATGAATATTTCCCAAAGGCCCCTGTGTACGATCCCAGCCAGCGTTGGAGGGAACACAGCCCAAAGTCTCTGTCCTCATGAAGCTTACTTTCTGTTTGGAGGGAGAGACACAATAAGTAAAGAAGGAATTAGAGTTTGCTGCGGTTGATGTGCTGAGCACGATGGAGAGAGGCAGACCAAATGAGGTGGGGAGGAGGGCGCATAGGGTGGGGCCTCCACGCTGACCTGTTGTGTGTAGAGAAGGCGGAATGTGAGCAGGGTCTGGGAAGGAAAGGCAATTCCTGGGGAAGGAGTGCTCCAGGCTGAGGAAAAGCCCACAGGCCCAAGAACACACATGAGTTGCTCCAGTCACAAAGAGGTGAAATGAGCTGGTGCAAAATGAGTGAGAGGAGGGTCCTAGGAGCTGAGTAGGGAGAGTCCAGGGAGCAGGCTGGCAGTGTGTAGGACACAGCAGTGATGCTCCGGGTGAGTTCTCACTCCAGATGTGCTGATGAGAACAGACTGGGAAGGGGGAGTACAGAAGCCTGAAGACCAGACAGGGTGGTCGTAGCTTAGAGCAAGTGTAGCAGGGAAGGAAAAGGAAGTATGGGCCTCTGGTCACTCTGAAGGTGGAGTGGGAAGACATGCTGGTGGCCGGAGGCGGGTGTGAGGAAGTTGGGAGGAGTCAAGATGACTCATGGGTTTTCTATTTGCCTGAGCAACCCACAGGATGAAACTTTCAAAAGTTGACTTCCTTGAGTTTTATTTCTTTTTATTTCCCTTCCTCACAATCTAGCAGCATTACCCCAAAGCTATAAAGTAGCCACAGAGGGAAATCAGTAAAAGTAGAAGCTATGGCTTAGCAAACAAAATAATCAGTCCTACTAATCAAGTTGGCTACAACTGCTCCCAAGGGTTAACAGAATACCACAAACAAATGCTTAACAACCAGTTGAGAAGTAGGATATGCATGTGCTAGGACCCAGTCAACAGAGCTGTCACCAATTCCATCAGCAAAACAAAGAGATGCAGCTCCTTTCTTTCTTTGATACATAAAACCATCCCATTGCCTCTTGTTAAATGCATGGCTTCCATGGCTATTAGTTTTCAGCTGTTCTCTCTATTTAAAATCCCTGGCTTTTTAGATGAGCACTTTGTGGGGACCGAGCCTCCAATGGACAGTAAGGCAGGAGAACTGCTTTCAGCAGCCTGCTGAACAGGTTCTATACTCCTGTCCTCTTTACCTCTCCTTGAAACGCCCTGCCCTGGACATGTGTAACACTGTTCCTTTCAGCCTCCCTCCTGCCCCTCTGCTATAGCCTTCCCTCAACCATGTTCCCAGCTAACTTTTGGCTCTTCCTGCTGCACTCCGGCTATCAGAGACATGTTTAGAGTACCCATGTTTCTTGCTAGAAACAAATTATAGCGGGGCAAAGACCAGGCCTGCATCTTTCCATCACAGCTTTGGACACACGACAATCACAGTAAATGCTGGCTAAGTAAACAAATGAGTGAATAAACTCTTGGCAGCCAAACCTCCTTGGGCAACATCTTTAGAAAAACAACTATCTTTTGAATGTAATATCCTCCTTTCTTCATAGGAGATACAAAAAACATTATCAAGCAATATCTTGCCGCCTACAAAACAGGAGACTGTTGGCTATAACATGACTCCTTCAAAGATACAAACAACATAGAAATAGGACTCTTGGCTAGGTGTGGTGGTTCACGTCTGTAATCCCAGCACTGTGGGAAGCCAAGGCTGGGAGACTACTTGAGCCCAGGAGTTTGAGAACAGCCTGGTCTACAGAGTGAGACTTCGTCTTTACAAAAACTAAAAAAATTAGCCAGGAGTGGTGGTGCATGCCTGTAATCCCAGCTACTTGGGAGGCTGAGGCAGAAGGATCACCTGAGCCCAGGAGGTCCAGGCTGCAGTGAGCCCTGAGTGTGTCACTGCACTCTAGCCTGGATGACAGAGTGGGCCCCGATTCAAAAAAAGAAAAAGAAAAGAAACAGGATTCTTTAAGAACTAAAACAGTTTTTTACTTCAAAATTTATTTTAAATTGTATTAAAATGTAAAGTTTTCTTTATATCAATAGTTAAACATTTTAAACAACAAAGATTCCTGTTGATCAAGTAATAACTGATTTTTTTCTTGTCAGTTTTTTCCATCTAGAGAATTTCTGATACTATTTATTTATTTATTTATTGAATCGAAGTCACTCTGTCACCCAGGCTGGAGGACAATGACATGCTCAAGGCTACTGCATCCTCAACCTGCTGGGTACAGGTAGTGCTTCCAACTCAGTCTTCCAAGTAGCTGGAACTACAGGCATGTGCCACTATTCCTGGCTAAGTTTTTGATTTATTGTAGAGATGAGGTCTCACCAAGTTGCCCTGGCTGGTCTTGAACCCCTGGGCTCAGGCAGTCCTCTTGCCTCTGCCTCCCAAAGTGCTGGATTTACAGGCGTGAGCCCCCATGCCTGGTCTGACGTTTATTTTTTTATTTTTTCTCTTTTTTTTTTTTAGAGAGAGTGAGAGAGTGAGAGAGAGAGAGA